TGTAATGTGGCTGGATTGTGGTGCTTGTTATGGTTTGAAATGAGCTTGGAAATGCTGAATTTATACCATGATTGTGGCTGTGATTGTGGGCCCGATAGTGGCCTTGTATGTTTGTTGAGTCGTGAGTTGATTGATTGAAATGTAGGCCATTATGTGCGCGCATGGGCTGAATTGAATTGACTGGCAAATGGCCGTGATTAGGTGTTTATTGAGCATGTGAAATGCGTGAAGTTTGATGCGTGCATGGGTCGAATTTGATCGGCTAGTAAATTGGCAATATTGGGGTGTAAATCGAGTGAGTGAATAAATGAGAAATTGTGTGTGAAGTTGTATGTGTGGTCACGAAAATCCCTGAGGCTGTACCATTACGCGGGGAATTGTGCCGTCCTGAGGCGGTACCACAACGCGGGACGATGCCCGGTATTTGTAACATCACGAATTTCAACCCATTTCCGAGATCAATAAAGTGAATATTGTTTATCATTTCATTTTGAAAAGTCTCGCCCGGAATTGATCACTCTCGGGATACTAACCAAAAGGGAATGGCTAATTAGGAAACGGTACGTGGACTAGGGACCCGACCGTGAATCGGGCACTGATTCCGAGAAGCGACGAGGAAATATTTTGGGCCAATATGGGCCGATCCTAGGAAAGTGAAGGATATGATTTGGCCAACGATGTACGATAGGATCGCGGGTGATTCTGTACGACCGAAAGTACACGTGGCGATCAAATCCCAAACTTAACCCGACCGATCGCGACCTCCGGCACTAGTGATAAATTCTCACGTTTTCCCGGTAATCGAGGCCGTCACGACTCGAGTATCCCTAGGTCGATACGCGTAACCCCTAAACAGCCGCCCGTTAGTCAGAGACTTTAAAATTTGAAATTGAGCGATTTTGATCACGGAAAATTGAACCAGACTTGGGCGTCGATTTTCGAGATCGTATACGACTATTTTTCGTGGCCAATGTCGTTTTGGAGTGGCCACATACATTTGGGGCTAGTACAGCCGAAAATTGGAATTTCAGCCGAAATTGGAAAAATTACGATTTTACCCCTCTGGACTCCGACGTCGATTTTCGAGGCCATATGAGATTATTTTTCAAAGCCGATGTCGTTTTAGGGTGGCCACACATATTTGGAGTGTGTACGGTCGAAAAATGGAATTTCGACCTGGAAGTGAAAAATTACGGATTTGCCCCTCAAGACTTTGAAGCCGATTTTCGAGGGCGTAAGTGACTATTTTGCGTGGCCGGCGCGATTTTTGGTGGCCACGTACATTTGGGGTTGGTATGGTCGAAAAATGGAATTTCGACCGGGGATCGGAAAATTACCATTTTTCCCCTATGCCTAACTAAGGTATTCCGATTTTTTTTTAAGGATTTTGGGGATTTAGTTTTGATTATTAAGTGGATAATTATCAGCCATTATTAAAAGACAAAAAGGCCCCTAAATTATTGGATTTGGATGAATTAAGGCCATTGGATTAAGGGCATTTTGGTCAAAGTGAGTAGGATGATGACAAGTGGCATCCACTATTGACTATTAAGACCAACTTTGACTCTCTCTTTCTTCATTTCACCGGCTAGCCATCCCCCGTTCTCTCCCTCTCTCGCCGGCGCCTTTTTCCTCTCAGCCATTCACGCCGGAGCTCCGCCCGTCGCCGCCGTGTGCCGCCGCCGGTCGCCGTGCGCCGCCGCCAGTCACCGTCGCCCACAACTAACCATCACCACCGTCCCTCACTCACTCTCTCTCTCTCTCTCTCTCTCTCTCTCTCTCTCTCTCTCTCTCTCTCTCTCGTCCCGTTCTCTCTTCTCTTTTGGGCCGAACCGCCGCCGTCCGGACGCAGGACCGCCGCCGTCCGGACGCAGGACCGCCGCCGTTCGTACGCCGCGCCGCCGTCCTTACTGTTGGAATGCCGCCGCCGATTCCGCCATCTACCGGCGATTGGCCGCTCGTTCCCGTCGACTCGAATCGGTTTAGGCGAGTATTAAATCCCTAAATCCAAATTAGTTTAATTTGCACTTTAAATGGGTGAATTAGAGTTTAATTAGACTAGATTATGGTCTAATTATAGGTGAATGTGTATTGGATGATTGTGGGGTGTAATTGGAGCCTAATAGGATGATTTGGATGTGATTTAATGCCCAAATGTGGGCTGTTTTGGTACTGTTCACACCAGAACCGAATTTGGATTAAAATTGTCTAAGTTGGGATTAATTGGATTCTTGTTGTGGTTGCTTAATTTGGGTGATCCAATGGCTAAATGGGACTTGTTTGGGTTAAATTGTGTGAGTCCTTGTTGTTGGTATAGTAGCCGAAATTGACTGGTTAATGGCGAACTTGAATTATATAAATTGGTCTCAGGTTTAAACCATGTATTGAATGCCGAGTTTCAATGGGCTAAAATGGAATGAATTGGGCGTGCCGACAATGTATTGAATTGGTCGAGTTATGACGAATTGTACTTGGGCACATATTGGTGTTAGTGAATTGTATGTTCATGATCGACTCGAATGTCATTATATGTGACTTCACATAATGTGTTTTGATATGGCTGGGATTGTGAGTGCGAAATTGCACGTACCTAATCGGAATATTTGTGGCCTTCGGGTCGTGGCCTTCGGGTCGGAATATTTGTGGCCTTCGGGTCGGAATATTTGTTGGCCTTCGGGTCGATATATCTATGGGCCTTCGGGTCGGAATAATTATTTGATTCATGAGCATGGCAATCGTGTACAGAGTATATTAGCCGTGTGCACGTTCGGTAAATTGCACGTGAAATTGGTATTTTTGAGCATGAGCACGCGTATGACGTATATGTGACCAATGCGTGCGCGCATGTGCCATTAGTACTGTTATAAAATGCCTAACCTGCAGGGTTGTTGTATAAGTGATCTGGTCTCCGAGCCTAGGTCAATTATTGTGATGTTTATGCCGTACTATCATGCGTGTTTCATTCGCCTGTCAGGAGGTGCATGTTAGCCTAGTTTAGGTTTAGGGGTTATTTACTTGCTGAGATTCGTCTCACGGTTGTTGGAAACCTATATTTCAGACCCCCGGCAGTGAGGATGGCGGAGCCGCTTGTGCGTTTTGGGATTCCCTACTTCATAGAGAAGACGATGTCTGTACATCCCGTAGGGGACGGGAATATGTACATTAGATACTATACTTTAGTATGGGTAGATGTTGGGGAGTTAGAGTCTGCGATCCATGAGTATGTGGCATGGTGTTATAGGACGTATAATGGGGAGGAGACCGGACCCCTTCGGACGTTTGATATCCCGTTTAACGGGAAGGGTGAGATTGACCCCCAGTGTCCCAATGGAGATATAGTAGACCCCGCCACTTCAGACGAGGAGGATATGAGCTCTGATGGCGTTCCTGTGGAGTACGAGGTAGATGAGGTTGAGCCGATGGACATGGAGCCGGATGATGTTTAGATGGAGCAGCAGGTGGAGGAGGACCCTGAGCCCGAGGCGATGGACGCAGAGGACGAGCCCGAGGAGGCTGAGTCCGAGTTAGACTAGTTGGATTCTGATGAGGAGACCCTGAGCCCGAGGCGATGGACGCAGAGGACGAGCCCGAGGAGGCTGAGTCCGAGTTAGACTCGTTGGATTCTGATGAGGAGCTGCCAGATAGTTCTTCTTCGTCAGAGTCTTCCGGTTCTGACCCGGATTGGGTTCCCTAGGTTGATCTTAGCCTTAGAAGGAGGGTTGCATCTTTTTGACCGAAGCCGTCTTAGCTCAGTAACCTGTGGCCACTGTCCCTTTTTGTTGTAGTGGTCACGACCCGTTTTTGTCTTGCCCTTGTAAATGGATACTGTATAAATTTCTATATGTTTATAAAAGGATAAAGTTGTTTTATTTGGTAATCGTTTGTGATGTGGCTATCCCTGGTCTTTGTAACTTTTGTCTGGGTGATATATTTTCTTATATATCGTGCTTTCGCATGTGACTTGATCTCTGGTTTGTGTTGGGTCGACGATGCGTCCTGGGACGTCGCACCCATTTCGACCTTTGCGTGGGATACTCGCGCTTCGTGGGGTACGGGGCGTGACAGTATTACCGGAAGACGGCGAACCTAAGGCGGTACCATAACGCGGGTTGTCCCATAGGTGGTGGATGTTGAGCCTGAGGCGGTACCATTACGCGGGCAAGATACATAGCCTGAGGCGGTACCATTACGCGGGCTAAGGAGTGTTGTGAATATGAGATGGTCGCAGTGAACCTGAGGCGGTACTACTACGCGGGTCACTGGCGAGTCGAGTGAAAATACGAGATGGTCGCAGTGAACCTGAGGCAGTACTACTACACGGGTCACTGGCGAGTCGAGTGAAAATACGAGATGGTCGCAGTGAACCTGAGGCGGTACTACTACGCGGGTCACTGGCGAGTTGAGTGAAAATAGTGTGATGAGGCATGAATGAGTGTATGAAATGTGGAAATGAAATGCCACGTGTTCGATTTGTGTATTGGGCGTGAAGTTAATTTGAATTATGTATGTGATTGGAAATTATATATATTTGAGACTAACCTGCAGATGGTGCGTATCAAAAGCCAGGTAAGTGTAATTGTGTGCATGATGTGTTTATTGGGTGATATTATGTTTGGTTTTGTCTGGAGGTACATGATAGCCTAAGTGGGGTTTAGGGTGTGTACTTATTGAGACGTGTTCTCATGGTTGTTTCAACCAACAATTTCAGAACCCCGGCCTGAGCCATGAACCTTCCACCACCGCCGCCGCAGCGTTTTGGGATTCCGATGCACACCGACCATAATGTCGTAGAGTACCCAATAAACGAAAATATGACCTGGGTTAAGCATACTACCGTAGTCTGGGTAGACGTAGGACTACCTCTTTGGCAGGCCCACACCTATACAGCGTGAATGTTCAGGGACGGGTTGGATGAGTTTGGCCCCGTCCGTGGCTTTGACGTTCCGTTTGACGGAGTAGGGGATTGGGATCCGTCAGCAATACCCCCTCGTGACGGCGAGATGACTAGTCTGGATACTAGTCTCGTCCAGTCCGGGCAACAGTCAGCACCTGCAGCACTTGAACCTCCCGTGGCTGAGCCTTATTCGGAGCCAGAGGAGTCACAGGCAGGGTATGATCCTATGGATGTGGATCTCAAGGTAATACCAGAGAAGGAACCAGAAGAAGAAGACCCTGAGGAAGAACCTGAAGAGGCGCCGGAAGAAGAACTCGAAGATGAGCCCGAAGAAGACCCAGAGATGGAACCAGAGGACGAGCTAGAGGACGAGCCGGAAGAGGAGCCTGATGAGGAAGAACGGGTTGAGGTTCCGGTGGAGTCGGGTGACGAGGACAATCCGATCGAGATCGAGGCAGATTCCGAGTCCTCAGATGATCAGGCAGCTCAGAGATATTCGGACTCGGGTCCCGAGGAGTCAGACTCGGAGTGGACGCCATCTAGGGGGCGTAGGGGCTAGTGTAGGGGTTGAGTGTAGGTCTTTTGAGGTGTTCCATTTTTTACAGTTAGGGTACCCAGGCTACTGATCTTTTTGATATCGGTAGTGTATAGTTTAGATATTCGGTGTGCTTGTATATTATGGGTTGTATATGGTGGATATTGTATAAAGTTGGTTAGGTAATGGATGTCTATTCTCCCTTTTACCCCTAGTCAATTATTGTCTGGGTGTTTGTGGCTTTCGCTGATGCTTTAAATCTCTGATAAGTTGATTGGGTCGGCGATTTTCTAGGACATCGTGATATTCGACCAAAGAGGTGTGTCACGTGCTCGATGGGGTTCGGGGCATAACATTAAGCATGTTCATTTCAAAGCCCAAAATGTTGATTATCTCCCTACATTGGGGCAATGCATATGATTTACCAAGAAAATTTGGAAAAATTGGTTAATATGTATAGAGTGTCTCAAGAGTCCAAAGAGCTCAAAAGATAAATATTAGGGGGCATGAAAAAGCAGTGTGCCTGGTAAAAGCAAGGCCGATGCCCATGAAAAAGAAAATGTATCAAAAGCAAAAGCAAAAGCAAAAAGCAACATGTTAATGATGAAAACGAAATTCCCATTGCAAAAGATACTTAGAAAGAGCAAAGCTCTTATGTTGCAAGAAAAATGGACTCTCGAGATAATTTGATTTTCAAGAGTCAAATCATGTCAAATTTGGATGATTTGGTAATGATGCCAAGATAATCGTCATTTCTCTTTCAAAACCCTTCTACAAAATTTCAAGCCTTTTGAGCCTAACCCGAACCGACATTACAACCCTCTCCAAAGTCTCTTCTGATTGGGATGGTTTGAGTTGACGTAAAGATTTCACAAAGAAACTACCGCTTGAAGGAGTGGAAGTAATCATATCTTGTCTTGTCTTCAAGGTTCTTGACTTGTAAACCCGCTGAAGATGTTGATGGTATATTTCTTTTCTTGGTCTCAAAGCAAATACCCTTTGTGTAAGCTCATAACCAAGCCTACATTACGGTCCTTTTGAAAGACCTTTCTGGTCAATCAATTTGTATTCAATGTGAACGTTTCCGAAAACCTTTGACATAGGTTCGTGAGGCATCACCAGTGAGAATTGAATAGCTTTCCCACATCAATGGATGGGAATCAAATCCTTTATGAGAGCCAGTGCGAAAGACTTTTTTGATTAGGTTATTTCCAATTTTGCATTTTTTTTCTAACCTCTTTAGATGGTTATTCAAAGATCATTTTGTTAAAATTTCCTCTTAAGGAAATCAGTGTCCTTTACCAAAATGTGAATAATTCCGTTTGATTTGTCGTTAAACAATCTCGGAACTTCTTTCAAAATATCTTTCCCCAGTGGATCGGTTTTTGGCCAACCCAAACCATATTCCTTATTTTCGATTTTTGGTCAGCCTAAACCATATCCCCCATTTTCGGTTTTTGGTCAGCCTAAACCATACCCCCCATTTTCGATTTTTGGTCAGCCTAAACCATATCCCCCATTTTCGGTTTTTAGTCAGCCTAAACCATATCCCCCATTTTCGGTTTTTGGTCAACCTAAACCATACCCCCCATTTTCGATTTTTGGTCAGCCTAAACCATACTCCCCATTTTCTGTTTTTGGTCAGCCTAAACCATACCCCCCAATTTCGATTTTTGGTCAGCCTAAACCATACCTCCCATTTTCGATTTTTGGTCAGCCTAAACCATATCCCTCACTTTCGGTTTTTGGTCAGCCTAAACCATATCCCTCATTTTTTGTTTTTGGGTCAGCCTAAACCATACCCTTCAGTTTTGATTTTTGGTTATCCTAAACCATGCATCGCTTTCGGTTTTCATACCGTCCCTTTGGTTTTTAAACCTTGTCCTTAGGTTCTAGGTCATCCTTAAATCTTGTCCTTAGGTTCTAGGTCATCCTTAAACCTTGTCCTTAGGTTCTAGGTCATCCTTAAACCTTGCTCTTTAGGTTCTTGGTTATTCTTAAACCATGGATTTCCTACAAAATCCTTTCATTTTATTTTCTTCCTTCATTCCACCCTATGAGAGAGAGAGAAAAACACATGACGTCAATGGTAAATGCTTCAGGTAAGACTCTGATCAAATGTCTTTGTCTCTATTTTCTTTCATATCCCAAGTGGAGTCGACTAAAAATTTGCAGGTGCCAATTGGTCTTTGAGCGAAACCTCTTCGAACTCCCGCTCAAAGACGGGCAGCTGTTGACACCTAATTTTTAGCCAACGCGTAATTAAAAGTAGAAAATTCAAGATTATGATTTCCGATCGCGACGGAACCCGTTTCTTGAACAAAAAGTGTCGTTTTTTAATTCTGTTTATTGGCCTAGTTTCTATAAACAATTTTCTATTCATTTCATGCAAAAACCCGAAAAGTCAAACGGTTGACTTTCGCGTTGACTTTTTGGTCAACCTTTTGACCAAAAGTCAACCCCGAGTCAAATTGGGGCTTTTCGCATAAAAAGATTCCTTTCAAGTTAAATTTTACTTTAGAAGTGGAAATTTTAGAAAAATTCAAAGATTTGATCATAAAATCAAACTCCTAGTAAAAAGTCAACTAGGGTTTGACTTTTGGTCAAACCTTTGACCAAAAAAATTGAAAAATACAAAAATCCAAAAATCATCTTATTTTACATTCAATTTGACTTTGGCATTTGAAATTCTACAAAAATCGGTTTAGAATCAACTTTTTCCCAATTTGCGGAATTTGGTTCAAATCGGCCAAAAATGAAATTACTTCATTTCTAGTCATTTTTTTGGGTTAGTTTTCTTCACGACATTTGATCTAGAGGTCATATTATATTCAATTTTGGAACAAATTTTGTAATTCCAAGCCAAAAGCAAAAACCCCCAATTTTGGCCCTAATCAGTGATTTGGATCGATTCTTCATGATTTGCGCAATTGAGACACGAATGAGCCTAATTTCTTATATTAAATCCAAATTCAAAATCAATTTTGAAATATTCACATGAATTTGAGCCAATTTGATCAATTTAGTGATCCAATAATTGAGAAATCTAAGAGTAATTGATTCAATTTGTGCAATTCAACTTGACCCACTCTATACTAACATCCAATTTGATGAATTGAGACTCAATTTGATTAATTGAACTTCAATTAAATTTGTTAGTCTAGCTTGGCCATGCAATTACTCAAATTAAAGAACAATTGAGCTAAACAAATTAAATTGGATTAATTTATGCATAAGTTTTAAATTGGTTCGATCCAATTTAATCAAATTCAATATTAATTGGATCATTTAATCATGATAGGAATCAAATTGTACAAAATTGGAACAAATTGAGCCAAGGATTGAACCGGTTCAACCCGATTAAACTCGGGTCAAATCGGTCAAACCGGTTCAACCCGGTTTGACCCGAATTGAACTGGTCCGATCGGACCAGCCATTTTCCAATCAAAAATCCGGCGGCTGGCGATCTATTCCGACCAACCACTGATCACGTCCCTTTGAGCCCAAAATGACAAAAATGCCCTTAAATAAAAATTACGAAAATACCCCTAAGTGAAATTACTAAAATGCCCTTCATTAAGGATTAATCAAATTACTTAGGGGGTAAGCAAATTAATCATGGCCATTCATTTAGAATTGATCATGTAAATCCATAATGCCATGTCACAAATCCTTAGCCCTTAAAGAATATTCTTAATCATTAAGGATGCACTTTAGGCCATTGGATCAATCTAAGGGCTAGGATTCAAAGTTGATGGGAGTATATAGTTTTTTTTCCCTCCAAAATTGGGAGGACTCACGTTTTCAGATATGAATTCTCTCTCCTCTCTTCCCTCTCTCTCTAGCCCACGTATCTCTCTCCCTCTTGCTCTCTCTCTCTCTCTCGGCCGCTAGCCTTTCCACCTCCCGCCGGCCGTTTTCCGGCGAGCCACCGCCTCACCGCCGTCCTCCACGGCGGCACAAGGCTGGTCGCAAGACCAGCTGTCCTTGCTGGTGGCCGGAACTGCTCTGTCCGGCGTGATCTCCTCCACGGCAACATCACCGGCATAGTCGCCGGTGATTGAATCAGCCGGTTCAAGTGGCTAAATCAGCTAGCCGGTAGTCCCTCCGGCGATCCCGAACCTCCAGCAGCCTTCCTTGGTGTCTTCACGTGGCTGTGGTGGCCAGCTTCCCGCTGAACAGCCACCGGATCGCTTCTTTCTACTTGATTTTTCGTTATTAGTTCATTAGCGCGAAATCCAGTCGGTTCTCACTATAGCTTGTGCACTCGATTCTCATAGGTTTGTCGAGCTTTCCGAGACTTCTCCGTGCTGCTCTTGATCTGAATACGGAGACCGGATCGCTCGATTGCGCATCGAAGCATCATTAAACAAGGTAAGTACACTTGGATGTTATTCTGTAAATTCGTGTACAGAGAAACCTGCATATTTGAGATGCTGATTTCAGCTCGTTAATGTCGAAATCTTGCGAAGTGATGAACTAGAGAGTCGTAAAACACGTCTCAAGCTTCGATTTGATATATTGCATGCCTCAATCAGACTTAGTTTTCTATGTCAAAACTCTTTCGGAAGTTAGGATCAGAATCTGGAATGTGATGTTCAAGTCTGTTCTGATGATTTCCTAATTGACGTTGTGCTGTTCTATGATTTTTATGATTTTCTAAGATTGTTGTTTGAAGAAAATTCCTTGATGAAAGTCATAGAGTATATCTTAATCTATTCATCATAAAATTTTCATAAAATTTCGACTATGTTAGGATTGTACGATCTGCAACGCCATATATGCATAGATCTGGTGACAGACTAGTTTCTGACTGACCTTCATGTGTTCTTCGATTTTTATAAATTCATGTGTTCAAAATATGAAACAATTTTCTTCACAAAAGTTCACACTGAGATCGAGATATTTCCAGTGATACTAATTTCATTAATAGCTGAATTCATTTGGATTTTCAAAAGGAATTTTTATTATCTAATCAGTATCTGTGTTCAGATCTGATTTTCATTCCTTTGGAATCCAAAAGATGTTTCTCCGAATTTGATAAAGTTAGAGTCCTCCTTTACAAAAAATCAAAATTATAAAATTGTTCCTTGGGGTCTCATTATATAGACTGGAAATTTGAGGGCCTAATAACAATTTTTAGGGGGTTGATTTGCTAAAAACCTCATATAAGGCCTTCTCGGGTTAAAATTCGATTTGCAGTTGAGTCCTTTGTGAAAACCGAATTTTATAAAAATTTGGAGGACCTTTTTAGCAAAAACTCAAAATATGAAAGTTGTAACACGCAGAGATTCCTAGCTGTCTAAAAATTTTCACACGGTTTTGATAAGGTTTGTTATTTTTCCCGCCATTATTTTGAATCCCTAACAGAACCGGGTCCAGTCTGTCACCGAGAGTAAAATTGTCTGTTTCGTGAAAATCGGTAGGGATTTAGAAAAAATAGTCTTCTTAACTTTTGATTCTCGTGATATAAGCTTTCTAATGACACCTGAATCACTTCATTTGGACATCATTAGGTTAGTTAATCACATCTGAACAGAAGTGATCCGAATTAGATAATAATTGAATAAGTGGTCTTATTATGATGCCCACTTCCCATTGCTTGATTGGTTGAGAAATAAGGCCCATGGGCTTGAATGCATGTTTTACTCATTGCTATGCATGTGTTTGTTAGATGGATGTTAGGCCCGGTGCATGTTCGGCGGGTAGCCCATTATGGTCATTTAGAACCTGACTTTAGGGGTTAATTGATATGAGTTGCCGTTTTGTGAATGCAAATGGTAGCCCATTATCGTTAACCATTAATCAAATAATGTTATATGATTAGGTGGGTGGTGAATCGAAATGCATGAAAAACAAAGGCCGATCCCGAGGCCAGTGCTTGATTAGTGAATTGTTTGCACCATTGCTTTTCTTTGGTTATTCCTTTGTATATTGTTTGTCGTGAATGTATGTTGTGAATGTAAACGCCGACACCCGAGAGGCGGTCCATGGGGGGAAAATCCAAAATTGTAAAAGACCAAGGCAATAGACCGATGTCTAATACGGTCTCAATTTGTATTCACTTGACGGTGGCGATAAACCGATGTCCGATCCGGTTTCAATTTGTATTCAATTCATTCATC